TAGTATTCCTTCCTTCTCTGATGCCTCTTATGGCTGTGATGGATTGAGGAAGATCTCCATAGTATCTGAGTAGTCACTGAGCTGAAGAACAATTAAGAAACTTATCACATGGGTTTGCTTAAAAATCAATGAGGTGTAAATATTATTAACAGGGAAGAAAAGGTAGTATTCCTTCCTTCTCTGATGCCTCTTATGGCTGTGATGGATTGAGGAAGATCTCCATACTATCTGAGTAGCCACTGAGCTGAAGAACAATTAAGAAACTTATCACATGGGTTTGCCTAAAAATCAATGAGGTGTAAATATTATTAACAGGGAAGAAAACTAAGCAAATTTACCCAGGGGTGGTTAGATTTACAGTTATGTAGTAATGGCTGTACTTTTGTTTCTTTTCTTAGTACCTCCTACTTTGTCAGAGAAAATGCAGGGCAGTGTCTACTAAGCCTCAGTCTCTACTGTGCAGTGTAGGCAGAATTAAGTTCAAACATATTCAGGGAAATGTTAAAAATGCTACTTACCTGTACGAGCCAATTGGTTTAATTGAGAAAATACTGCTTGATTTGCCTTCTCCATCAGGCTCCTCTGCTACAGAACTGGTAGAGTAGTGCAATGAGAACCAAACTTGGAGTCAGTCCCGGAAGGAAATCTCAAGCCCTGCCACTTGCCGGTGCTGTGACCATTCGTCTCAGACACTGCTGTTGTTTGTCTTCCATTTCTATAAGTTTGATATGGGTCTTTTTTATATCCTTCATTTCTTTTCTCATCTTGCTTTTGCTTTTCTCTACCTTATTGAACATATGAGTCTATTTACAGAGCCATTTTCACATTCTTGTCTATTAATTATATCATCTGAAGCATTTCTGTGTCTGTTTCTATTGAAGGATTTTTTTCCCCTCTGGTTTTGGGCCATATTTTCCTGCTTCTTTACATACCCGGTAATTTTGATTGGATGGCAGTTATTGTGCATCTTACGTTTTGGGGGCAGATTTTTCTTTTTAATCCTTTAAATATTTTTTAGGATTTATTTTGGGATGCAATCAAGTTACTTGGAAACAAATTGATCCTTTTGACTTGCTTGTAATCTTTGTTAGGCAGGTCCAGAACAGCCTTTAGTGTAGGGCTAATTTAGCTCCCCTATTAAGGCGATACCTTCTGATTACTCTATTCCATACCCCATGTATTAGGAAGTCTTTTACTCTGGCTAGTTGGAACAAAATATTCCTAACCCTAGGTGAATTCTGGGGATTTCTCTTTTCTGACGGTTTTTTCCTACATGGGTAGTTTCTCTACACAATGTACTGTTCAGTACAAGGCTAAAGATGCAACGGGGACACCTCTGCGTCTCTTTGTAGCTGTCCTTCTGTGTGGCTCTCTCCTTTACAGTACTCTGCCCACAGATTTTAGTTGCTTTGGCCTCCCAGAACCCTGAACTTTGTGTTCTTAAACTGTTGGGTTCTGTTTGGTCTCTCTTGCCTTTGGTATAGCCTGGAAACAGCCCCAGACAATGAGGTAGAGCATCGTAGGGCTCACCTCTTTGTTTCCCTTCTCTTAGGCTCTGCCTTTTGCTCAATTTCTGAACACCAATGTTTTGTATATTTTGTTCAGTGTTTTAGTTGTTTAAGGTGGGAGGGCAAATCCAGTCCCTGTTACTCTATCATGGCTGCAAGCAGAGGTCCACATCCCTGTTTTAGGAAGCACAGCTTCACTGCTCACTAGCTTTGTAGGCCTATGCAAGTTACATAATCTCCTGATCCTCAATTCCCTCAGCTGTAAAGTGTAAAATTTTAGCAATTCCAGTTAAAACTGAGGTTATAATGTACTTAGTCTATTGCTTGGCACATAGCAACTAGTTCTAAAATGCTAGCAATAGTGGTGATGTTGATGCTTAGCAAACATCTGTTTATGCTGAACTCAAAACCACAAGTTTCTCAATGCCACATTTTTACTGCTAATTCTGATCTGGGATTTATAAGGCTCCCCTCTGTGCTCTTTAGAGTAATTTTGGCAAACTATGAGCCACAGACTAAATCTGTCCCTCTGTCTGTTTTCATAAATAAAGTTTTAGTGGTACACAGTCATGTACATTTGTTTATGAATTATCTATAGCTACTTTTGTGCTACACTGCCAGCATTGAGTACCCATGACAGATACCATATGGACCACAAAGCCTAAAACATTTACTATCTGGCCTTTCTTTCACAGAGAAAGTTTGCCAACCCCTGTCAAGATATGGGCCAGTCCAAAGTATATTAGCAGATTCCGGCCTCTTTAAAACCCCTTCCCTGCCTTGGAGGATGGGGGTGGGGAATGGGCTGTATATATCAGGCCATAAAAGTTACTTCTCTGGAAGAGCTAAGAGTCCATGATGTTCATCTAAGACCAAGCCTTCTCTGGAACTCAGTTCACCTCGACTGGCTCATCACTCTCCATGCAGGCCCCTGCTTCTTGATCCTAGCCAGGAATTCTGAGAGTAATTGGCAAATACTGAAAGATCACAGATAAGTCAAAGGCCACAACAAAACATGAGAAATGATGTGAAGTTTGCACCTTTTATTTTAGCTCATCAAGAATATTTTTCATTTGAAAAGAAAGGATATTTTAATCCCCAATGATTGTTCCCATATGGGGTAAATTTAGCTTCATGAAAAACTCATGAGAATGTCCTTATTTTTCTCTGCCAATCAGTTAGCACTTTGCCCACAAACTGATGTTTGGGAATCACCACTTCACGTGTCCCTCAGAAGTTCCTGCCACTCAAAGCCTGCTGGACTCCTTAGTT